AGTGCCAGTATAACCAAAGGAGATCATGCACCTGTTTCTCCTTTCCTTTCTATTCTCTTTTGGTTCAAATTTAGTAAGAATTGTGTATTTCCAGAAGGCATAAGATTATATTTGTAAATGGAAGCAACTTACCTAATTGTCTTCTCTTACCAAAGTGGTATAACTCTGATTGGAAAGAAAGAGATGGATCAAACAGTGAAAAAGATGACTATTACAGAACTGTAATAGTCATACAATCAACAATACAGATGAATAATGACTTATACTATTTTCTTAGCTCACCATCCAATATGCTTTCTACAGTAGCAAGGTGGTTAGTGAATCTGAATAACTAATTGTGCAGATCAAATATGTTTTTTGATGAGCCTCATATTTCTGAAGAATTATTTGCAAAATAATTATTGTTTGTAAAACCAACATGTTGTCGTGAGTTCTGAATCCTGATTATCATTTTTCAGTCTTTGTTCCTTTCTTTTTTTCCTGGTTACTTATAGTGTCTGCTTTACTTCACTATGCATGAATCTTTCTGAATCTCAAATTTAAAGAGCATACAACAGATTCCCTGAACCTTAATGTTGAGAAGACATTAATGAAAAATAGGATGTCTGTTTAATGTAATAGGATGTTGGTTTAATTTCACTACTCACCCCAAATCCTTCCTGGTGGATTCCCATGAGGAAACTGTCATGTCACATTTATACATTTTTTTGTTTAATCTGCTCACCTAACCTTTAGAGAACTTAATTAAGTACTTCTAAAAATAATAGCATATACTTCATAGAAATTGAATTTTCCATTAAAAGTTACCAAAACAAATGGATAAAAGCTTGCATAGTTGTAAAGAAAGACAAAGTGAAGATGTCAGCTAAAGGGAGATAAAAGATGGAAAGAAAATTACTGTGTCATCAAAAAGATAATGAAGTTTAAAAGAAATAAAAAAGATGAGACATTTTGTAGGACATAAAAAACAGTTTGTCTAGGGCCAATAAAAAGAAAGAAACTTTGGTGAAGGAAATGTCACTAATTAGATATTGTTAAAGCTGAAATGAACATTTTATATTATGCTTTTACAGGCTAACAAATAAAAATAAAGGTACTTAACCAAGCAATATCTAGTTTTTCCACAGATCAGGGTACAGATTGTATGACATTATCTCTACAGGAATACAACCTAATCATGTGGTGCTATGACACCAGGAGGCAAAGTGAAAATGCATTTTGGAAAAGACCTTGAACTTGTATGCTACATACAGAAGGAAGCAAATTCATTTTTTAATCCCTGGAAAGGATAAAAAGGCAACAGCTTTGAAAGTAATCTACAAGAAACAAACAAACAAACAAAAAACAGTTCTTTCCCAACCATTTTGGCTAAGATTAGTCTCATTATTAATAGCAGTTAAAAATTATAATTATCACCCAGAAATAAACCCACAGCTCTGTGGTCAACAAATCTTTGACAGAGCAGGAAAGAATATGCAGTGGGAAAAGGACAGTCTCATCAACAAATGGTGTTGGGAAAACTGGACAGCAACACGCAAAAGAATGAAACTGGACTACTTTCTTACATCATACACAAAAATAAACTCAAAATGGATTAAAGACCTAAATGTGAGTCCTGAAACCATAAAAATCCTGGAAGAGAGCACAGGCAGTCATCTCTTTGACATGAGCAATAGCAACTTCTTTCTAGATATGTCTCCTGAAGCAAGGGAAACAAAAGCAAAAATAAGCTATTGGGACTACATCAAAATAAAAAGCTTCTGCGGGGCAAGGAAACAATCAACAAAACTAAAAGACAACCTACTGAATGGGAGAAGATATTTGCAAATGACATATCTGAAAAGAGTTAGTATCCAAAATCTATTAAACAACTTCTCAAACTCAACATCCAAAAAACAAGTAAATCCAATTAAAAAATGGGCAGAAGACATGAACAGACATTTCTCCAAAGAAGACATACAGATAGCCAACAGACACATGAAAAGATGCTCCACTCCCTACCATCAGGGAGATGCAAATCAAGACTACAATGAGATATCACCTCTTACCTGTCAGAATGGCTAAAGTCAACAACACAAAAACAAACTGGTGTTGGAGAGGATGTGGAGAAAGGGGAACTCTCTTGCACTGTTGGTGGGAATGCAAACTGGTGCAGCCACTGTGGAAAACAGTATGGAGTTTCCTCAAAAAGTTAAAAGTAGAACTGCCCTATGATGCAGCAATTACACTAGTAGGTACTTACCCAAAGAATACAAAAATACTAATTCAAAGGGATACATGTCCCCTGATGTTTATAGCAGCATTATCTACAATAGCCGAATTATGGAAAGAGCCCAAGTGCCCACTGACTGATGAATGGATATAGAAGTAGTGGTATATATATATATATATACGAATATTACTAGCCATAAAAAGGAATGAAATATTGCCATTTGCAATGACATGGATAGAGCTAGAGAGTTTAATTCTAAGCAAAATAAGCCAGTCAGAAAAGACAAATACCGTATGATTTCACTTATAGGTGGAATTTAAGCAACAAAACAAACAAGCAAAAGGAGGGGTGGAAGACAAACCAAGAAACAGACTATAGAGAACAAATTCATGGTTACCAGAGGCGAGGTGAGTGGGAAGGGTGGGTAAAATGCATGATGGCAGTTAAGAAGTGCATTTGTTGTGATGAGCACAAGGTGTTGTATGGAAGTGCTAAATCACCAAATTGTACACCTAAAACTAATGTTACATTGTATGTTAACTAAGTGAAATTTAAATAAAACTTATAAAAAATAGTAAAAAAAGATCTGAAGTTCCCTAAAATAATAAATATAGAGGTTATTGCATATCAGTTTCTCAGTGTATTCGTTTTCATATTTGGACATCTATATATAATATATAATATCTTTATACTATAGTAGATTTGAAGTAAGCATCTTTAATTGTTACTCTATGCTTACAATTTTTACTATCTTATCAAATACAACTTTTCTCTCAATATCTTTTAGGTCAAGGTCACATTTTAAGATTTTATTTTTGAGCCAAGACATAGAAATACTCTTGAAGGGACATCAAATGTCTATAGAGATACTTAACTGTGCTCATTATTTCTTATTATTTCTATCATACTGCCTCTGTGAACTAGATATTATTATTCTTATTTATAAGAGAAAAAACTGAGGCTTAGATATTACAAATAATTTGCCATAATATGAGGTGGACAAGTGATGAAGTCAGTATTTGAATAAAGTATGTTTTATCTTATTTTAAGTGTTTATTTATTTTAGAGAGAGAGAGAGTGTGTGTGTATACATGGGCAAGGGGCTGAGAGAGAGGGAGAGAAAGAATCTCAGGCAGAGTCCCCACTGAGCGGGGAGCCCAAAGCAGGGCTGGATCTCATGACCCTGAGATCATGACCTGAGCCAAAATCAAGAGTTGGATGCTCAATTGACTGAACCACCTAGGTGCCCAATGTATGTTTTATTTTAATCTCATTATTTTATCACTACCAGTGTCTCTTTAATACTAAAACTGAAACATCCTCAGAGCAGAGAACACTATACCTTTAAGTTCCAACAGCATTGTCTGAAGAAGTGTAATACAAACAAATATTTTCTGGAGTCACTTGTATATCTTCAAATGAAGCAAATTTTGTATTCTACTCATAACATTAACCTGTTAATTTTAAATAAAAATAATTATTTCCCTTAGCTACTGTTATAGACTGAATTGTGTCCCTTCAAAATTCCTATGTTGAGGTCCTAATCACTACCTCAGAACGTGACTGTATTTTGGAGATAGGGTCTTTAAAGAGGTAGTTAAGGTTAAATGAAGTCATTGAGGTGAGCCCTTATCCAATATGATGTAATCCTTACAAAAAGAGGAGATTAGGACACAGACAGATACCCAGAAGGAAGACCATGTGGAGATACTGGAAAAAGATACTGGTCATCTCAAGTCAAGGAGAGAGTCATTCATAAGAAACCAATCCTGCTGATATTGATACCTGATCTCAGACTCTACCCTCCAGAATTGTGAGGAAGTAGATTTCTGTTGTTTAAGCCACCTAGTCTGTGATATTTTGTTAGGGCAGCCCTGGCAAATTCATACATATAACTACCATCCAGTAAAAATGATTCTCATGAAAAATATACTTTATTTATAGTAGTTTCATATATCTTCAGTTATATCGTATACTCCCCAGGAGTTTGAGTAAGATTCATACCTGTTGACTTCCTTGGAATGAAGACTTGGTGTGGAAGCAAAAGGATTATAATATTTTGAGGCATGATTCAAAATATGTGTTAAGTTAATTATCTGTACTAACTTATTGGTATTAATGAATTCCTGGTTCAGAAATTCAGACTGTCATCACCAGGACTATGAATTTATTTTAAAGCAGATGCCTTGATGCCTCTTTAAAACTTGAGTATATGTTTAGTGCTGCTGTCAGCCCCTTTAGATTAGATCAAAGCCATAAAACTGAAGTGATAGTGAGGACAATGCAATATCCCTAATCAGAAAAGAATGTTATCATTATGTATAGAATACCAGAACCTTTATTCACTTAATTTACAAACAATTCATGAAAACATCTGTATGCTTATTGTAATTACTGCCAAATAATCAGAAGAAAACATTTCACCCAATGGCTAAATTTTACTTTTTTTTCTGGGCTAACTTCAATGACCATATGTGTTGGTCTCATGTCAGAGTAGTCTGAATATGATGGAAACATATACAAAGAAATCTGTTAAATGGAAAGATATCGAATATAAGTAATAGCAGTGAATTGGAATGATATTCAGTGTTACTAACGTGAGTCAAATATTAGAACAACAAATATGAGCAATATTCCAATGGGTATTTTTAGTAAGCATTTCACAAAATATAGACGTAAATTGGGCAGTACTTCTCCCAAACAGAGTGAAAAACCATACTTTACTGCAGACTCGGGAAATTACTCAGAATATAAATATAACAATTCATCTGTTGACTTTGTATCCTAGGAAATATCAAGAAGAATTGTCTGATATAAATGCAGACCTTGGGCTTGCTAAAAATCAGCATTTATCTCTCAGGTCAGTCAGTTTATTGATACTCATCTCAGTGAGAAGTCAGTATGTATGTATATCACTGTGGACTAAATTTCAACATAGAAATGTTTAAATCTTGAATTTAGTTTTGCCTCCCTGAGAATCCTTCTCCTCCTGCCCCCTGATTTTACATGGTTTATATAAGGTCCAAAAGAAAAAGAGTTTAAATCTATTAAATATTTTAGGCTTTTTATCTGTCATACCATTTAGCAAGACCGAAGAGTGTTGCCTGTAAATGATTTGAAATGATAACGTCTGAAGTAAACTCTCACCAACTTAATTTCTCAGTGAAATTTTCGTAGGGTGCATAGAAATTTTTCAAAGCTATGAATTACAATTAAAGATTTTCCAAAGAAATGATGTCATAATTTTAAACTTAGTAAGTGCAAAGAAGTATGGTAAGTAGAGGTAAAAACTCCTAAAATACTTCTTTTATGTGGCAATCATCAACTGGTAATTGTTGTAGAAAAATACACATCACGTATGAATATAGAATTCAAGCTAATGTTACAAGCTAATGAAAAGAAGCACATTTGCACTACATCTACTTCATACATTTGTTGTTTGAGCTAGTCACTTTTACTTTGAAGCTAATAACTACCTTCATTACAGAAACTGGTGCCTGTCTTTAAATATATTGATTTATTTCTCCAAGTATACTTAAATTGTACTTATTTTTATTTTTAAAGTAGGGAACCAAGTACACTGGATATTTTTATATTACAATTAATGTATATCTTGCTTAAACTACACATGATAATAATACATAATCGACATAATCATATCTGATTCATTATTTAGCTATTTATATTTTTCTTTGCCATGGACAATGGCTTTGGTTCAATTGTTAGCTGTAAAATACCCACCAAAATTCTACTATTCTACTCTTTTCTATGGAATGATGTTAGCTGTTAGAATATCAGAATATAAGGTTTATAAAAGCAGATTCATTCTCAAGAGACCTTACATACTTTGTATACCAGTAATCATGAATGTCAGGGCCCTCAAGTGAGGCCAGTAAATTTGACATTCACTTGCACATTTCAATTCCTTTGGCAGTGAAATCATCCCCCAAGTAGAGTCAGGTCCTAAAGTTTCTCTTCCTTCTCAAAGCCCTGAAGCTAAACCATGGTTATTGCCTTACTTCTCCTACCTTCTGCAGTTTGGCAATCTGATTAAGTAAAAGGAAATCAAAATCAACCCTCTTGACTTAACTATTAGACTTACATTTCTCTTTTTATTTTATTGATTTTGATCACTAGTTTAGCCAAACTTGGTCTTTTACTGCTTCCACTTCACCTCAAATTCTGAAATCTGTATAATCTCACCATAGTTTTCCAACTCCTCTTTGAATGTTTTAGCATAGATATTTTTATCAGTCTCAGAGCCTAATTATAATTAACCTTCCAATATTATATCAGCAGGCAGAGCTAAGAACCTTTTCCTGACATTCCAGACAATATTATAGTGATACCTACATGACAGATGATATACAAATTAACTATAATTAGTTGTCCTTTCAGTATAAAGTCGTTTCCTTAAGGTTATAAATTTGGCTAATTTAGCTTTAGATTGTATCCTCTACATAAACTACTTTGATGAAAATTAGTTAAAACATGTAACACTCATTTAAAGGTCTTTTATATTTTTTTGTTGACTGGGGCACCTGGTGGCTCAGTTGGTTAAACATGTGACTCTTGATTTTGGCTCAGGTCATGATTCTCAGGGTTGTGAGATTGAGTCCCAGGTTGGGCTATACGCTGGGCATGGAGCCTGCTTAAGAGTTTCTCTCTCCCTCTGTCCCTCCACCCTGCTCTCTCCCTTTCTAAAAATAAATAAATAAATAAAGTTGATTTCTTTAAATGGAATTTATTACTTTTTAGTTAACATGTTTTTTTATAGAATCAATCTTAGGCTTCAAGCAAAGAATTTTCTGTTATCTTTTTTTTCAGCACAGAAATTCCAAGTATATGATATATGATAAAGCACTTCGAATGCTAACTAGTTGAATTGACTGGGAATAAATACATTTTGGATGACAGTTTTTCGAAAATTAAGTAATATTCATGCTTTCAAAATTGGGGGATTTTTATATCTCCATTCAACTGTCAGTTTTTCAGAGTCCTTCCCCTGCCTCCACATTAGAATAATTATTTGTATAAGTCTATTTTCTTGCTTCCTGCTACTTCCTTTCATGAAATTATCACACTTTGTAATCATATATTTATTTATATTTATATACAAATATATTTATAGTTATTTGAAAATATAAAATATATTTTTATTTATATTTTTATTTGCTCAGCATTTGCCTTCTGTACTAGTTTGCAAGCTCAGAGGGCCCAGGAATCATGTATATTTTGTTCATCAGTGTATGTCCAGGGTAGTGGGGTATCTGGCATAGAGCCAGTTTTAAATAAATGTTTGTTGAAGGAATTAACTAAGAATTATAGTGAAGTAGAAGAAAGAGGAAAGAGGAGGGGAAGGAGAAGGATGAGGAGAGCTGGAGGAAGAAGAAAACGTCGTTAATTTTTATGGGTTCTTACTGTGCACCAGCTATTTCATCTTCATAGCGGACCTATCAGATCAGTTTCATTGTGGAAAAAGAGGCACAGAAGGTTAAGTAACATGCTTGTGCTTATGGTCAAACCCAATTCTGAATAGGACGACTATGGCATTTTCCCTAGCTGCTCATCTCTCTGACATCATCTTTTTCTAAGGCTGTTGGTGTTTGTGAAAATAGGCTTACATAAAAGTAGTGGTATGGTGTGTAGCTCACTGAGCCATGTGTAGCAACTGGATTTTTCAGGCACTAAATAGATTCAGTTTATCTTAATTAAGAGGTATTTCCTAAGGAAACCTAATTGCAGTGGTAGTAATTGTTTCTCTTGGGGTCCATTTATCTTCTGGGTCTGTGAGCTATACCCTTACCTATCCAGTTATGTCAGACGTTCCACCCAAAGTTTTCTGAAGTTTCATGATTGTTGTGTGAACCACCATTACTATATAAAGTTATTAAATCCGTGTATTATCTTAAGCCCTAGGGTTGCTCTGTGCTTCAGTAGTAAAGAAACAGGCCAACATACTGCTCTTAACTTCCTTCCCTCCCGATAAACTGATTTGTTCTGGACTTCCATATTATTTGTCCTTGCTTTACAGAAAAAGTGTTCCTAGTTTCCAGGCTAGTTCCTTTGCCCTTGTTTGAATTCATTCTTCTTATTGATTGAATTCATTACTATCCTCAGTTCCATAGTTGTCCATAATTTATCACTCAATTTATAACTAATTTCTTTATTTCCCTAGATTTTCTTTGGTCAATGAATATATCAAAGTCTCCCATATTTCAAATGTAAACAAATAACAAAAACTCTTTCTCAGGCCTTGTGTCTCTGCCAAATTGACACATTGTATCTCTTAACTTTATGAAGTTTTTGAAAGACTGTTTTAAATTGCTGTCTCCATTTCTTAACCATCCATTAAAAGGTTTCTTTATGGCTTCTTTCTTCCACATTTTACTGAAACTGCTTTTTCAGAGCTCATCAGTAATGTATCGTTTGCCATTTCTAGTCACTCTTCATAGGCCTCAGCTTCCCCAACTTTTCTGCTGTATTCTTTTAAAAAAATTTTATTGTTATGTTAATCACCATACATTACATCATTAGTTTTTGATGTAGTGTTCCATGATTCATTGTTTGCGTATAACACCCAGTGCTCCATGCAGTACGTGCCCTCTTTAATACCCATCACCAGGCTAACCCATCCTCCCACCACCCTCCCCTCTAGAGCCCTCAGTTTGTTTCTCAGAGTCCATAGTCTCTCATGGTTCGTCTCCCCCTCCAATTTCTCTCCCTTCATTCCCTGCCTCCCGCTATCTTCTTCTTTTTTTTTTGTTCTTAACATATATTACATTATCTGTTTCAGAGGTACAGATCTGTGATTCAACAGTCTCGTATTTAACCGCTGTTGGCTACTCTTTAACCTTTCTTCTCCATTGATTTCCTGATATTGTTCCTTACCTAGTTTTATCATAGCTCTTATATTCTGGTCAGAGGTAAAGATTATATTTTCTTCTTAATTTTAAGAATTATGATTTTCCGTGTATTATCTTTTTCCTTAATTGTCTGTATTACTGTTTCTGCTTCCTTTGACTAACCTTCAAAAAAGTATGTAATCTTTCCCTATTTTTCTAGTCTCAGACATTTGATTGTTTAACACATATTGTTTAATATCCTGCTTTGGCTTCTGGGTAGTAACTATCAACTTTATGTTTTTCCTGAAATTCTAACTCTTAATTCCCAAGAATTTGCATGATGTCTCAAAGCCAGATTAAACTTAATCCAGTAGAGCTGGTACTACATCTTCCCAGTCACTCATACAAGGAAGCTCAGTTATCTTTGACTCTTTCATTGCCCTCGCCCACACCACTGGTAAATTGCTAAGTTTTGTTTGTTCTGCCTACACAGTGGTGCTTCATCAGTTTACCAGTTATTTTCAGTTGTTCCTCTCACACTGCAGGTAGTGACATCATCTCACATACACAGTATTCCAGTAACTTTCCAATTGGTATCAGTCTTTAGCCTTTCAATATACTGCTCCACCTTTTATACTCCATACAGAATTTAGATGACTGCCTGTTGCCTATAAAATATAGTTACATTTCCTAAAATGGCATTCACAGGCTGCTAGACCGATTTCAGTCTGCTTATACAGACCACCTCCCAACGCATTCTTCCATTAAGCTTATCTTTTAGTCATTTTTCTAAGTATGCCGTATACTATCATGCCCTCATGCTCTTGATCCTGATGAACTTGGAATATCTTTTCCCTACTTTCTTTCCTGTCATTGAAAACCAGTTAATCCTCAGAGGGTTACACTAGTTTATTCCATTTTGCATTATGATTGGTTGTCTCCATTTCTATTTTGTAAACATTTCTAAAACAGAAATAATTTTATTTCCACTTGTATCATTCACTTCTCCATTACC